CACAGATCCGAACGACTCGTGCCTTCCTCTTCGCTCACTCAACAAAGTAATCCATAGTACCAACCACTACGCAACGGATCAGCCTTCATAATCACGTCTAAGTGTTAGACAACAACTACTCTATCTTCGTATATTATTACTGAGCGCAATTACTGATCAATACTAGACCATACAACCCCTACACAACTAGAAACCCCTTCACCAGCATGACACTAACGCAATTCACCACCTAGTTATCTCGTCGAACGGAACACAGAGCAATCAGTTTCACTACTTCACACAAACACACACGCTCTCACACATTCAACTCACACAACCTCATACAATGACTCGATAACGCGACATCTCAGAGAATCGGTCCATCAATAACAACGTCAGAGGGAAATGATAATTTATATTGAAAAAAACGACAACAATGAAAGCAGTAGTAGTAGTCATAGTAGGAGTAGTTGGACAACAATTATTTAAGCATCTTCAATCTCCTCTTCAAATTCACCCTCCTCCTCGGCCGTTGCATCTTGATACTGTTGGTACTCACTCACCAGGTCATTCATGTTCGACTCAGCCTCCGTGAACTCCATCTCATCCATACCCTCACCAGTGTACCAGTGCAAGAAAGCTTTACGACGGAACATAGCAGTGAACTGTTCAGACACACGCTTGAACAACTCTTGGATAGCTGTGCTGTTCCCAATAAATGTCGCCGACATCTTCAATCCACGAGGTGGGATGTCACAAACAGCCGTCTTCACATTGTTCGGAATCCACTCAACAAAGTAACTCGAATTCTTATTCTGAACATTCAACATCTGTTCGTCAACCTCTTTCATTGACATCCGACCACGGAAGATGGCAGCCACCGTCAAATAACGTCCATGTCGTGGGTCACACGCCGCCATCATGTTCTTCGCGTCAAACATCTGCTGTGTCAACTCAGGAACAGTCAATGAACGGTATTGTTGACTACCACGACTTGTCAGCGGTGCAAAGCCAGGCATGAAGAAGTGGAGACGTGGGAAGGGAACCATATTCACTGCCAACTTACGCAAATCAGCATTCAATTGACCGGGGAATCTCAAACACGTTGTCACTCCTGACATGGTTGCACTCACCAGATGGTTCAAATCACCATATGTTGGAGTTGTCAACTTCAGAGTCCGGAAACAGATGTCGTACAGGGCCTCATTGTCGATACAATAAGTCTCGTCTGTGTTCTCCACCAACTGATGGACGGAGAGCGTTGCATTATACGGCTCCACGACTGTATCCGAGACCTGAAAGACCACAAATACTCTTGTCAACAAACATCAATACTTCAATAATACAACGGTCTAGGTCACTAACTAACAACACCTCCCCTATTCTACAAAACATCTATTAGTAAGTCAACACATCTCACACTATAAGAATTAAACTTGTACACTGTGGTTAAGTATAATTCCATTATGGCTAAAATTTATTTTGATCAAGTCTCAGTCTTACACAGTATTATTTACTGGTGACGTTTCAAGCACAATTTATTGCTCATAATCACTGATATGATTATGAGACTTTATCAAAATAAAAAATCTACCTATAATGGAATTACACCTTAAACTATTCAATACGTGATACCAACTCGAACTAAATTATCAAATTTATGGACACTAACACTGCAACTCTCAAGGCAAAAACTGAACAGCACTTACCTTCGGCGAAGGAACAACTGAAAACGTGTTCATTATCCGGTCAGGATACTCTTCGCGTATCTTCGAGATCAACAGTGTACCCATTCCAGAACCAGTACCACCACCGAGTGAGTGAGTCAACTGGAAGCCTTGAAGACAGTCACACGACTCCGACTCTTTCCTCACCACATCCAACACCGAGTCAACCAACTCAGCTCCCTCTGTATAATGGCCTTTCGCCCAATTATTCCCAGCGCCACTCTGACCAAATACAAAGTTATCCGGACGGAACAGTTGTCCGAAAGGTCCAGCACGGACACTGTCCATTGTCCCAGGTTCTAGATCCACCAGGATAGCCCGTGGGACATACTTTCCACCAGATGCCTCGTTGTAGTAGACATTAATGCGTTCCAGCTGCAGATCAGAATCACCATGATATGTCCCCGTTGGATCGATTCCATGTTCATCTGAGATGACTTCCCAGAACTGGACAATTTAAAGGTGGACATGGACAAAGGGTATTAGTGAATGCACAAAGTCCAGTAGAACATAATGAAAATAATAAGGTGTTGTATGTGTTTCGACATACCTTGGCACCAATCTGGTTTCCACACTGACCAGCTTGAATATGGACAATCTCTCTCATGATAGTCTGCAACTAGGATGGAGCTACGCGAAACGAAAACGAAAACTGCTTAGTGTCAGTAGTGGACTTGCCAATCCATTTATTCTATTTATTTCGACCAATGAATGGGCTTCGTCACTAAGTCTGAAATGATTGGAGGAAGGTTCATAATTAGTTTGTGATTGGTAGATGGAAGAATCTGATGTGTCAGTTTGCAGACAGGGCTGAACTGAATTGTGTGTATGTGTGTGTAAGACGTATGGGGGAGTGGAGAGAGTTTTTCATGTTGCTTCGGATTTTTTTTGGATTTGATTGCATACAAAATTAGAGTATGAGTATCCAGCTGTCGTAGATGTTACGAGTTGACTGGATTATTTTGCCCACTGAGTCAGATTGAATGAGCCGAATTAATTTGGATAATTTGATGGCTGGTGATTAGCAGTGAAATCCAGGAGGCTTTTTGTCCTACTTAGAACTCGTCAGGTAGATAGATAGGTGTGCCTGCAGTCCTTAGATTGTGCTGTTTGTATGAGTGTCCATGCTATTGTGTCGTGTTATGTAAAGTTTGGGCTACCTGTTTCATATGAAAAAAGAGAAAACGTTCAGCGAAGAGACTCTTTCCGACGGCGAATTCATTGATATAGCTGTACACTAGCATTTATATATAATTATTTGTGCGTGTGTGTGTGTCTACATGAGGTTTGTCAAGTTTAGGTAATTGATCAGGCAATACAAGAATGATTTAATATAGAAACAAGGTAAATCAGACAGCAACTAAAGTAAGATTGACTTAGTAAGTTAGATGACGTAACATAATTGACTAAAATGTTTCAACTAAGTAGAAGTGGTGTGGAGAATAATGCCATTTAAATTAGAACTGAAATTGAGCAATTTAGCTGGATGACGTAACATAAATGACTAGAAATTGAGCGTTGGTCAGGTCAGTAACAATGGTAGAGATGTGTAGAAATTTAATCGGGTGGGGGTAGAGAACGAGAAATTTGAAAATGCAAAATATTACAATTGAGAAGACAAAGTAATACTAATGAAGACTCAGATAGAAAAAAGGTTAGGTAGAATTTCCTTGTCGGGTAATAAGATAGACTACGTCCATTGCAAGTGTATTGATTGAACGAACTTCTTCTGTATGCAGAGTTCAGGACTTAGCAAGTGAATCACCATTGCTTCTGCAGTTTGAAGAAGTCTGATTCGTACAGCTTTAGGAAGACTACTTCTTACTCTGTAGACGACTTTGAAGTTTATTTGCAGTGTAGCTTGGTGTCCGGATTCTATCAGATGTTCTAAGATGGAGCTGTGGGAGGGGGCATCGTTTTTCTCCTTTGTAAAACCATGTTGATAAGTGTTCGGTGATACGTTCGGAAAGCAAACGCTAGGTAAGGCCTGCATATCTGGCTCCACACGAGCAGGTGAATTGATAAATACACATTGATGAAGCCAGCAGTAGTATCTTATCCTTCATGTGGTTGATATAAATTATGGTTGGAATTCACACGCAGACTCTTTACTTAATTTTGATCTCCAATTGTTATAAATTCTATGGACAGAGTCTTAATCCACAGATGCGCTCTTCTTTGCATTACGATTCAGTATCAGTTAAAGAACTATTGAAAATCAAGGAGTTCTGAATCAGCTGTTTTATCCCAGTTTACAACAGTTTATCTGAACGCACTTATAAGTACACAGTGGAGCTAGAATTTTTGACCTCTAGGTTATGAAGCGAGTATGTGTTGCCATCTTTCAATCACAGTGACAGAATTGAATGATGCATAAAATTCTAATTTCACTTCATCTTGGCATGATAGATCACACTGGCTACAACTTCCTATTACATCTTAAGATTCTCCAGCCTATTAGCTGTTAATCACGCAACACGTGAAGATCCTGAATTTGACGTATAGTAGGATAGTAGACTGTAATGCGTTGCTAAATAGTCTCAGAGTACATCGAGAAAGCTCTCCAGTACTCCATAGTTTTCAGTGATTGTCTAACTGATGAAATGTGAATTGCAATTCATCCATATGCCTTTTTTTCCTTCACGTTCCCCAGTGGAACATAGGGCGCCTTCAAGCTAGTGGCTTGAAGTTTCTGTAGTACTGTTTATTTTAAAGAATGGGGTTGTTAGCCTCGTGATCAACCTTTCCTCTTTACCAGCATTATTTCTGGGTTAGCGAGGTAAAAGAGTGCGTCGGTGGCTGGGGATCGAATCCTGGACCACGTGCATGGTTGGCGAGCGTCCTAACCGCTGTGCCACTGACGCACATCCGTATATCTGCAAAATCTATAATCTGAATGCACATATCTATCCCACTTTACCGCCATTTCTTTCTTTGATTGGATGGAGGATTTCATCATGAGCTGATATCTATCTATATCCTGTGTTATAAGTACAGTGAATGTGTCATCTACATACCTTCACCATACTTTTGAGGTGGGGCTAAACGTTCGAACAACCGTCATCCAGTGAATAATACTGTTTCACTGTGTTATATATCTAATATTCAAGTATTGGTTTTGTAGAGATTTTGCTTGATTGCATGGTGGATTTCATTATCAGCTGACATCAGTTAGAGTACCACTGGAAAACCTGGGAGTATTAGACAGCTGTTTTGTCCTAGTTTGGGACTCTTCATCAGTACTCACTCACCAATACTTGAAAATTTCTTTCTTTCTTTTTCTTTTCATCAAAGTCTACATGGTTATGCGCAAAATTAGCTGCTGGTAGTGTAAAACGTCTTACTCACTTAGTTTATACTGGTCGACTAGCCAATGGTTTGGCGCTTGTTCGTCCACCTGGTCACCATGCTATGCAATCAGAAGCATGTGGTTATTGTATATTTAATAATATTGCTATAGCTGCTGCAAGTTTACTTCAACCAAGACAGATGAATCCATCATCATCATCATCGGCATTACCGGGGAGTATTTCACAGTCAAAGGGTTCAAGTAACAATGAGTTATTATCAGCTCAACGGATTCTTATTGTCGATTGGGATATACATCATGGACAAGGAACACAATATACATTTTATGATGATAATCGGTTAGTTTGTGTGATTCTGATGTTTTGTTTTATATTTCATTACTACTTATAAGTAGTTAGATAGCATTCACCTGATATTTCGTTGTTTTCTTATTTATTTATTTTTTTATTTTTGATTACAGCTTGATTCCACACTGTATTTTTGGTACAAGAATGGAATTTTCAGCGTGGATATCGGTAGCCCGAAATTTGCAGGCCGACCATAGATATCGGGTGTGCATTGGCGTGGGCTCGAAGCCCGGACCATGTGCATGGTTGGCGAGAGTCCTAACCACTGTGCCACCGATGTTCATTTCATGAAAGATATTTCATGGAATCTTCACCGTGAGGAGGTTTAGAAAATTTTGTATAACTCAGTCTCTACTGTTACAGTTTGTTGAATTCTTGTATTCTACCTATTCTTCTTTATTACTCCTCTACCCATAATCTTTCCTGGGTTACTTATGACTGGTGGATACTTAAATCACCCGGCTACCTAAATTTCAATCGGGTATTGTGATAAGAGTAGAGAAAATGCATCAGTGATTCGTTCATATAACGGCTAAATGCATCAACCATTCTCCTAGCAATGAAAACGTGTTGACAGAACTCCTGAAGTAATAATCTTATTGTTGCTGGTTGACAATTCTGTCCTATGAAGCAGATATCTATTACGCCTTCAGTCACACATGGTTCGGGGTTCGAGCCCACGCCAACGAACACCTGATAATTATGGTCGGCCTGCGAAATTTGGGCTGCCGATATCCACGCTGAAAATTCCATACTTGTACCAAACATACGGTGTGGAATCAAGCGGTGATAAAAAAAATAAAAAATAAAAATAAATAAATATCTATTACATGGAGGATTTAATCATAAGCTGACATCAGTTAGAAAACCACTGGAAAACCTGTAGGGAGTACTGGGCAGCTGTTTCGCTCTAGTTTGAGACTCTTCAGCGGTACACACCCACCAGCAGGGCTCGAACCCAGCACCTTCCGGTTACAAGGCGAGCTCGTAGACCATTGAGTCACTGGGACCCGATCCAATAGTCCTTGAATTCTAACTTCTGCCAGTTCACGACATAGCTTGACCACTTCACAATGTCTTCTTCGATGAGTTACTGCCTCATCTTCAACCTGCTGTATCTATTACGCCTTCAATCATCAGCAATCACACCAAAGTCTATTCGTCATTATCAGAGTTTTATAAATTAACGATGTAGTATGATTTATCTAGCCTAATGGATAAAGTTCGGTTTTAGTTTCAGGAGGAATAACATCATATGATTGGATACGGGTTGGTCCAGATGACGAGTTGGAAATACGGTGATACTCGTGTCTTGGATTCTATTACACGTCATCATCAAGACATGTAACTTCTAGTTATTAATCTTGGTAATATCAAGACACCCATGCAGGAGGTCATACACGGAAACAGAAGTTAACCAATTCTGTTAGATTCATCAACAACAAGTCACAAAGATGAATCATTTTGGCATTTATAGTTAATCGACAAAATGTTATACTTTGTTTAGATTTTGAGTTTTCTGGTGTAAATTTTCAGAAAACTGTATTTTTAATAATAACAATAATAATAATTTGCTTTATTCCAAAACAGTATTTGTGATACAGAATGGAATTCTCAGTATTTCACTACAGTATTGCATCCAGTTAATACATTAACAATAAAATAAAATTCTACATAGGTTATGGGTAATCTCAGTTAGTTTTGACAACAACATATTAACATGTCGGTAGCAAAACTAAAAATTGAACAGAATGTTTAAAGGTGTTAGAAAAGTAGATGGTAGCATATTTACTGGCGTAAGTGGCAACAAAATGGTCGAGATATACAGAGTGTGAAAGAATGAAGAAGAATGTTTTAGGTAGAGTTTGTAAGGAAGAGAGAAACAAAACAGCATATAACAAAAAAGGGAGAGGAAAGGAAAAGAAAGAAAGAAAACGTTGTACCTATAAATGATGATATGAGTTGGAAAGACGAGATCCAGTTGTTCTACTGACTGTTTAATAAGTTATAAGTTTCACGCTTAATGCTTTCTTTACCGCACAGAACACGAGATAAGTAGGTAGGGTATGGTTGAGCATTTGTACTTACCAGTGTGAGCATATAGTTTTCTATGTAGGCTTCTCGTCCTGCCTGATGAGATACAAGGGGAGAGTCGTGAATGAAGAGGGTGGTGGTGTGAGTTAAACAGATAGAATGGATTTAGCCCATTTTTCACATGATTCCATGTGCCTGTGTCGACCAGAATATTAACAAGTTGGTTAAGTGGCACGTAGCTCACCCTGCTGACAACCTTCAACGTCCTGCTTAATAAGGTATAGTCTTTCTTCAGTAGCCCTGAGGCTTAAGCTTGAAGAAAGTTATTTCTTCTTGTAGGTCATAATTTTGATCACACAGTTATGAAGTCGAATGCTTAACTATTCTATTATTTAAGTAACAAATGGCCATTAAACTATGATTTATTAAGATTTCTGTGGTTAAGTGTATATGTCTCACTTTGGCGTGATTTGGAATTCAGAGCGCAAGTTTCTTCGCATTTGAGACACATCGGTTGAATGTATCTGAATCTGGATGACTTATTAGCCTGTCAGCTAAGACTTTAAATTAACATCTGTTGTTTAGAACTCTACAGTGTTACCAGCTAATCTACTGAAACTTGAAGACTACTTCATTTAGTATGAGCATGATTCAAAAGTCACTTCAAATATACTTGAAATTTCCAGGATCTAACTGATCATACTGTTCAAGTATTGGTTTGTAGGGATTTTATTGATTGGTTACAGGATTTCATTATGAGTTGCTATCGGTTAAAGAACCACTGGAAAACTGTCACAAAGTATTGCGCAGGTGCTTCGCCATCCTAGTTTCGGACTCTTCGGCAGTGCTCATGCACCGAGTTCGAACTGAGGACTTTCTGGTTACAAGGTGAGCTCGTAGACCATTGAGCCACTGGGACCCCATCCAGTGACCATTCCATGAATTCCAACTTCTTCCAATTCGTGAAATTAACGCGACTGGTACTAGCTAATGTAATCGCTAGCGAGTATATTTCTTCACTCCCTACCTGGGGGATCTCACTTATGACGCATAGAATTAAAATTCTAATGTACTCACTTGTAGATCTCCTTAAACGAGAAAACACTACTGATTATAGACCAAATCTGGGGGAAAGACAAACATTATGCAACAACATATACAAGAAAGTCACTTAGAAGTTAAACTGAAACTGGTTGAAGGGTAAATGAGTTCCTTCAGGGTGACTGCAGACACACCTTGCTGACTGGTGAGTGCTAACTAGCACAAAACCTAGGTCAAGTAAGGCTTCCTGTAGCATCAGTTGCCTTCAACCATCTAATACCAATATGTAATTCTAGTTTATTTCCTCTGACCCAATTGAAATTCTATGTGCTCTTATTTCGTATCAAGTATCTCTCTCTCTCTTTAAACTATTCATCACTCATGGAGGATTTAATCATGAGCTGACATCAGTTAGAGAACCACTGGAAAACCTGGGAGTACTGGACAGCTGTTTCGTCCTAGTTCGGGACTCTTCAGCAGTACGCACCCACCGGGATTCGAACCCAGCACCTTCTGGTTACAAGGCGAGCTCGTAGACCATTGAGCCACTGGGACCCGATCCAATGGTCCTTGAATTCTAACTTCTGCCAATTCACGACATAGCTTGACCACTTCGCAATGTCTTCTTCGATGAGTTACTGCCTCATCTTCAACCTGCTGTACCCTACTGGTCACGGCTTCCCGAACTAGGACGAAACAGCTGTCCAGTACTCCCAGGTTTTCCAGTGGTTCTCTAACTGATGTCAGCTCATGATTAAATCCTCCATGCAATCAAACAAAATCCCTACAAAACCAATACTTGAAAATATTCATCACTCAGTTAATTAGTTGTAAACTTTTCTCGATTGATTTCTTTTTAATCAATTTGAGTTCTGAGTGTGGAAGGTAGTATCTGAAGGTCGAAATTGAATTAAATATTCAGTATATGTTGCTGCACTTCTAACATTTTACTTTTTTTTAATTTTATTTTACTGGCGACACTCATCTTGTTTCTCATCTTATTGCATTCACATTTCTCAATGTACACTTTATCTTCGTGTCATCTATTTCATGAATACTAGTTGATAAGAAGATAAGACATCACTCCTTGCCACGTCAAAATGTGTATACCAACTAACATGTTTTCATGGAAGCAAATACATTGGGCCTACGGAAAGATGTCTTTGGGCTCGCGTTGTCAAACACTCCCACAAATGGCTTTTCAGTACTCATGATGGCATCCTAAGGAGCTCAGTCATCACACGACATTTATCGGACTGTGATCATACGATGATGTTGAGTCAAAGCTTTATAGTTATTATTAATAAGCAAATTAATAAAAAAAAAGCTTTTGGTTTGATTGAAACCTGTGCAATCAACCAGATTAAAGAGGCCTCATCTCTGTATACTAAAGGAGACAGTAATCACCTTAAATTTACCTTGGCTTAGCATCTTCTATTATGTACTATTAGTTTACTCAGGATATGTGCAAATTGAAAAATCATAGTTGAGTATTAGCTCACCATGGTGAGGAGTGTTCAAACACTCTTATGATCTCAGATCAGACATGTTTATTCTTGTTACTTGATCGTATATGGTTTACCTGTGTTAAACTTATTTATTTATTGTACAAAGGTTCTTTGCTGTCACAGTGATCATGTGTTTGCACTTAGACTTAAGAGGGAACTGCATAAAGAACATTGTTTATAGAGGAGTTTTCAGTTGACAAGTCCTTCTACCGAAATTTATGAATTCACTTAAATACTGCTACTTTTACTTCACATTTGTTGATTGTTTTAAATTCACCACGGGAAGAAATGTTTTCATCATTTTTTTGTCCAGTGGATATACTGATGGAGTTAAAGACTGTAGCGTTGGAGGAAATGACTCACACAATGTCGATGAAGGGGTCAATAGGCGGAAACTAGATTGGTTAACTTGAAAGGAAAACAGTTCATTCTTTGGAGGTGTGTGTGTGTGGGGGGGGGGAGGGGATTCGTTAACAGAATTTCCATCATAGAGTAAATTTATTTGATAAACTCTTACAGAGTTATATACAGTGCTATACTTACTGATGACAACGTTTCGAGCAAAATTTATTACTGCTCATAATTGTATCTCCAACTTCGTTTATATACATGAGTGACAAATATACTAGACATCTGAATGATTATCAGTACTGTCTTATAATATGGACTACTTGAATTTCTTGGCTACCTGGATTTCCATCCAAGATAATGCATCTTATTTGCTTTAGTTCATGTTGTTATAGTCATCATTCAGTTATATCCGTGGATCGCCAAATGTACTCGTGCACTCCTTTAATCGGTTTGCTGCCGCCTATCATTGAGCATTTCTGTGGCACAAAAGTAACATACTATAGTAGATTATTTTATTCTTTAGATCTAACATCACTGTGCGTCACATGATGTACTTAATGAAGATGGCTGTTTTACTTCAAAATCTCCTGGATGAAGAGTAAATATTATGCAATAAACTACACTGAAGATTGTGCATATTTTGTAAACTTATTGTGCATAATAAAGCGGTTTTTATTGTTATATTTTATTGATAACAGTCGTTTAATTTCCCACCTTATTGCATACACCTTTCCCAGTGTACTTTATCTTCCAATCATCTATTTCACACATGCCTACTTAACTTTATATTATTATTATTATTGTTCCCTTGGGTTCATAGTGGAACATAGGGCTTCAACTGCACGTCTCCACTTGCCACTTCTGTCTTCCTTCTGCTGTACTTTTCACCTCCATCCATGTTAGTTTTTATTATATCGAGAATTAAGTAGTTTCTAAGCATTGTTTATAAATGTTAGGAGTCTGAACAAGGTGAGTAATATTTACGTTGGGTGTCGAGTGGTAGGTAGGTAAGGGGGATAAATCAGACTGCAAGGTTGTGAAGTTACGTCGATTGAGATCGTCAGGACATGTGTTATGCACGCCTAACCATCCCCTTCATCTACGGGCAATCTTAACTGACCGAGGATGAGGTTGGAAAGGAGCTAGTGTCTCTCAAATCAAACCACAGCTTCATCAGTCAATCAAATCCATAACAGTTAGTTTAAGTCACGAAAGGAGGTGTAGACTGCCTTCCTGGATGGCTGAGGTTGTCGGCATAGTAGCAACCAGTTCTCAATGATAGCTGGCGAAGATGCATTCACTCTTTGTCACTTGTCGTATCGAATAAAACTGTATTGTCCTTTCATATTACTACTGTTCTTTTTCCCTCACTGAAACTTGCGTTTATTATCTCTCTCTCGCTCTCCCTCTTGAATGTCTCTTTAATCTGTTCTCTTGCTTTGTGTGGTACATTGTAGGGAGAGTGGCAAGTTGAAGTGTTGGACATCTGTGCAAAGTTCTATGTTGAAACCAGTCAGTTAGTCATTTGGTTGGGAATCTGTGTGACAGAATGGAATGCAAATGGACTCCGCTAATTGTTAAATGACGAGTTAGTCATCTACTGCGATTACTCAGGCGACAGTGATTGTGTCTCTTTCACAATTTCACCAACAACTCGGAAAACAATGATGACTGACTACATGGGAACCAACCTCCTTCGGAATTGGACATCCGCTAAAGAAATCTTTAAATGACATCACATCATCTAGTGTAACCTATATGTAAAGCGATAAGTTGAGCGTAGTTGTGAGGTGGCATATCACGGATAATATGAAGATGTTGAAATTAAAACTTGTGACTTAGCAATTCTTGAAGTCAGGGAATGGCGTACAATAGTTCCGTGCTTCTCAAACTCTAGGTCCCTGTCGGAATGCATAATTAAATAGAGTGAACTGTTACACGTTTCATCATGCGTAGACACACGATAGAGAATCACTAGAAAACTAGGGAGTATTTGGTAGCTGTTTCGTCCTAGTTTGGGATTCTTCAGCAGCACGTATTAGCCGAAAGGCGAACCTAGGAATCTCTGGTTACGAGGAGAGATCGTAGACCATTCAGGTACTGGGAAAGAGCTCAGATGCCCATGAATTCCAACAGTGATAAGGCACTGAGTGAAAACTCCAGTAGGTGCGTACCACTAAGGAGTCACATACAGGGGCGATTCTCTAACTGGTGTTAGCTGGCGATTAAACTTGTAATTAGCCAAATCGCTGTCGACCAGCACTTAGTAATATTATTTATTATTATTATTATCGTTCCTTGGGTTCCTAGTGGAACATAGGCCTTCAAGTGCACGTCTCCACTTGCCACTTCTGTCTTCCTTCTGCTGTACTTTTCACCTGCATCCATGTTAGTCCATACTGTTTCAACTCATTCTCTTCACACCATCTCCTCCATGTCACCCTTGCACTGGCGTCCCACTCGCCACTTGCTTCCCTCTCGGCCTGGTTCTACTCGAGCAATTGCCTGACGCGCGCACGATATCACCCGGCGGCGGCCTACTCAGTGAGCGAGTGTCCAATCCATCTTCATTTTCTCCTGCATATTTGTTGGTTGGTGATTGGTTCTTGTTTTGTTTGTTCCCAGTCAGAGTTTCTTGTTGGTGATTGTTTCCGACCCGGCCATCTGGTCTTCAGTATAGAGCCAGCGAAGACAGTTGTTTGATAAAGGTCTGCAACAGGCTGTTGGAAGTATTCTTTGTGACCCGCCCGCCCGCCAAGTTTCTGATCCGTAATAAGCATTCACTGCCAGGGTTTGAACACAGCGCATTCTGGTTACAAGGCTAGCTCGTAAGCCACCCAACCACTGGGACTCTTTTCAAAGTAGGAAGCCTATTCAATTAGGTTCCTGTAGGAAGTCGTAACCAGTGGGGAGAAATATTCGCCAGCGATGACACTGGCTACTACCAGTCACCATATCGTGTGCGTCGATGGCACAGTGGTTAGGACTCTCGCCGACCATGCATATGATCCGAGGTTCGATCCCCTGCCGACGAACACTTGATATTTATGGTCGGCCTGCAAAATTTGGGCTACCGATATCACATGCTGAAAACTCCATACTTGTACCAAAAGTACGGTGTGGAATCAAGCTGTAATCAAAAATAAAATAAATTGGCATAAGTTAGAATCCATGGGCCATTAGATCGGGCTGATATATACACAAAAGTATCTTGCCTTTAACGTTTTCTTGAACGACAGCATACATGAATAAGATGAGAGAGGTTAGAGATACAGTAAAACGTTTTTATTTGAATTGTAAACTCGAGAAAAAAGTGAAGTATTTTATCATTCAAATGTTGTTTTCCTTTTCTCTTCATGTTTTTATTTCCAAAAATAATCTTCAGTGTTCTATTCATTTCAATTCATCGTTATGAGAAGGGGAATTTTTGGCCAAATTTACGTGAAGCAAATTATGATTTTATTGGTGAAGGATTAGGCAAAGGTTATAATATTAATATTCCATTGGAAGATGTAAGTAAGCATTACTTAGTGTTAATGAATCTTTGAAATATTTGATTATTTGCATTGAGTTCGTTCTTTATGCCAACGTGTTATTATCATCCTAGACCATATTACAAGAGTACTCAATAAACTCGACACCAGAGTTTTCTTCAAAACATCAGATACACTTCAAAGCAGCCTTGTCCACATAAAAGACCAAATCCCTAAACATTTTCCATCTAATTGTGTCTATAAAAATAAAATGACTGGATTGTGAAGCGATCTACACTGGACAAACATCACGAGAAATCAAAATCTGAAGAAATGAACATCGTAGAGCATCTGTTCTACCACCAAGAAATCCAGTTGAACTAGAAAAATTTGAAAAAATCATCAGCCCTAGGTTGTCTACACGCTATAGAATCAGGCCACAAAACTGATTTCGACAATATTGTAATCATCATCCAGGAGAATTTTAGAAATCACAAAGAACACCTTTTACTATCACAATCACTTCATATCAAGTGGAATCCAAATTGGTCGATCAGCGGGAACGATGAACTGAAACAGAATCTGACCTGATTACAACACTCCCCTCCCTCATGAAATGACAGAATCAACGCGGATGTGATAAGCAATTTCATAATGTAAACACAAGCTGCTTTTAAAATCTTATAAACTTATCAAATCCGCCATTCTACACCTGGTTTTTTTTATCTTTACCGATTGGCCAATTCGACAACGGAAAAATGATCCTGTGCTGAGGAACGATGATTGCGTAGTTATATATTAGCTGAGATTTTGTAAATTCTAGTTTAATATTTAATTGAATTTTGAATTTTCCCGTCGATTGATTGGACTGAAGTGCTCGGTCTCAGGTTGACATGTAGGCTTTTTGTGCAGATGCTTCGATGATGTCTGGGCATATAATTAGAATTCAACTAGTGGATGGTGGAATCCAGGACTACGCGCATTTCGTCCTGTTTGGGACTCGTCAACTTTAGGCCAAGCACTTCAGTTCAATCAATCGACGGGAAAATCTAAAATTCAATTAAATAATTAATATGATCTATTGCACAAGAAGTGGCAGGCTCTCGTAGCCCAAGTGGTATAGTGGATAACGCTTTGACGTTTGAAATTATGGACACTGGGTTCGAGCCTCGGTGGAAACATCATCACTCACTGGGGGGGGGGGGTTGCAGGTGCATCCACATGACGAATCCTAAATAGAATGAAATGCACGTTGTCCTGGATTCCACTGCTTGTTACCATCCGCTGGTTTAATAATACTTTGATAAAGCTAAAAGTGGCATTAAATAGCGAAACATCAGTAAAAACAGCAATATCGTTTTGTTTTTCATTCATTCACTGGGAAATACAAAAAACCTCTATTATAATGAATCTATGTGAATTTACAAATGATAAACTAAATAATCCATTCAGGATTTCATCATGAGCTGACGTTAGTTAGAGAACCATTGGAAAACCTGGGAGTACTAGACTGCTGTTTCGTCCTAGTTCGGGACTCTTCACAGTACGCACCCACCAGGATTCGAACCCAGGACCCTCTGGTTACAATGCGAGCTAGCTCGTAGACCATTAAGCCACTGGGACCCGATCCTATGGCCAGTCCATGAATTCTAACTTCTCCCAATTCACGACATAGCGCAACCGCTAGCCAATGTCTTCGGCGAGTATATGTCCTCACACCCGACCGGCTGCACCCTACTGGTCACGACTTCCCACTGGAACCAATCAAATCCCTACAAACCATCACTTGAATACCAATGAGATGCTCACTGGCGACTGGCCCTATTCAGGTAGGTAGTTACCTGGGTTCCAGTGGGAAGTCGTGACCAGTAGGGTGCAGCTGGTCGGGTGTGAGGACAAATACTCGCCGAAGACATTGGCTAGCGGTCGCGCTATGTCGTGAATTGGGAGAAGTTAGAATTCATGGACTGGCCATAGGATCGGGTCCCAGTGGCTTAATGGTCTACGAGCTAGCTCGCATTGTAACCAGAAGGTCCTGGGTTCGAATCCTGGTGGGTGCGTACTGATGAAGAGTCCCGAACTAGGACGAAACAGCAGTCTAGTACTCCCAGGTTTTCCAATGGTTCTCTAACTAACGTCAGCTCATGATGAAATCCTGAAACCAATCAAATCCCTACAAACCATCACTTAAATAATCCATTGTTTTACTTTTCAGATTGGTATGACAGACTCGGATTATTTGGCTATATTTCATCAAATTATTTTGCCTATAGCCACTGAGGTAAGACCATATAAGGATTAACAGTGATGTTAATTTCTATAAAAGACTGTTTTTCAAAGTTTTTCCCTTTATTGTTACATAACTGCTAGTTTATTGCTTTCATAGCTTGTCGAGAAAATGCGCCAAATGCTCATAACCAGGGTTATACATGAACATCAACACTCTGTCATCACCAACCCTCTATAGCTGAAAGTTGTAACCAGTCAATTCCCTGCAAAAAACCAACTGACTACACGATGAAGTTGCCTGCAGTCTCCCTGAAAAAGTTGTAGCTGGCGTTTTCCACCATGTTGGGTGTGAGGAGAAGTACTTGTCGATGACACCGGTTGGCAGTCGCAGTGTATATCGTTAATTGGTAGAAATTAGAATTCATGGGTTATCAGATATCATTCGAGTGGTTGAATGGATAAACAGGCTTTCCGTGTAGTCCAGGAAAAATGCTTGGTTCAGTGCCCAGTGGGATAGTGGGTGCCTAACGAAGAAGAGTTTCAAAATAGGACGAAACAGCTGTCCAGTACATTTTAGTTCCCAATAATTATTTAACTTATATTAATTCAGATAAAGGAATAAGAAGACGTAATTTGTCTGAATCGTGTAATGTTGTATTTGCGCAACACATTTCGAACAATCTAATCCATCGCACACGGACTTGTCATAGGAATATATATGAAATTAATAAAGAGGTAAGAGGTGAGAAAAATAGACTTAGGTCAAGTTAAAAGGGCATACTCAAGGTTAAAATAACAATGAATACCACTAAACCAAATAGCAGAGGTAATATTACATCTGCTATGGTATCAAAACAAAATTTATCAAGGAAGGTGGTTTAGTGTGATGACGAATTGTTTTTGAACCCATAAAGGTGGCTTGAACTTTCTAATTGCTAGCTAGGGCTTCCACAAACTCTAGGATACGCCCACCCTCGAACACGTTTTATAGATAGGTTTAAAAGATCTGTTAACGTCAATTTTATGTCCTGTCTCTATAATATGTTTCGCAATAGAGGAGCTAGGTCTCCTGTTCTCACCATTAATAGGTTCTGAAGAATCCATTTGTTTCTAAAGCCACTTAGGAATATGCTCTGAAGCCAGCCCCTAAATGCAGAGATCGATGAGTCCTCCCTATATATGTGTGTCCACACGTACATTCAAATTGGTAAATACAGTGGGATGTGACGTCATTTTTCGGATGTTCCAAGGGCTTAGATAAACATATTGGCTTTATATTCTCTATTCTTATGATATTAGCTGCATGAAAAGTCTTTTTAACAGCAGCGTTCAGTCTTTGTCTACTTAGCAAGCTGCTATGATCACCACCCATATAGGGTAGCTTAATGTACACGTCTTTCTTAGAGGCGAGTTGTCCTGTCCAAGATAATATCTTAATTACCACAGTTTCTGCCCTGTTCGGTACAAAAGAGCCTTAGTAAGGTGCCTCTTCTGTAGAATCCAACGAATATGCACTGAAGGCACACTTCATGAAGAAGAAAGAAAGTTGACACAAACTCTGGTTGATAATAATTATCCAGAAAAGTTCATCGGGAGATATAAAGTAGTCAGAATACCAAGACCTACTCTACAACTTGACTTAAGTCTATTTTCTCACCTTTTAACTCTTTATTATTTCCATATATGTATATTCCTATGACAAGTCCATGTGTGATGGATCAGATTGTTCGAAATGTGTTGCGCAAATACATTACACATACGATTCAGACAAATTACGTCTTCTTATTGCTTTATCTAAATTCATAAAGGGAACTAATTGTTTTAAATTATATTAATTCGTAATGTAACATGAAATCAGTTAAATCCCTACAGAAGAAACCATGAAAATGGATGATATTTGTTATAATAATAGAACCACTTGAAATATTTGAAAAATTATACGAATAATTCGATGTTTCTGTTCACAATCGATAGTCTACCTACTAGGCCCACCTAAATTGAGATATTTTCTGTGTAACTGTGTATGTCTAACTGATTCACTGACTAATTGGCTGACTAACTCATTTATCAAAGTGCAGCTTTACTCAAAAGTGCATCAGCTCAATAGCACTACATTTTGAAAAAGTGTACATAATAGTAGAGTGATAGAATCTTATAACACATTTACAATAGGACGATGAGAGTAGGTCGGATTGGATAGTATAAAGTAGAGATTATTCGGAGATTTTAAGAATTTAGAAAAAAAAATGACTAAAGGTGATTATGTCTTCCATGTGATTTTGATATTGAGAAATGAAATATTTTTGGCGGGACACTAGGTAGTCATTCATTTCATTCGTCTAGTTCTTGGTGCTGGCGTAGAATGAATTCTACAAGTCAAGTTGGAAATTTCATCACCGTGGTGCGCTTGGGATTGTTGTTATTAGATGGTTGGAGGCATCCATCAGGAAGCATTGCTTGACCTAGGTTCCGTGCCTCTTGGTACTTATCAGTCAGTAAAGTCTATCTGAAACATTGAAGGAACTCATGTCCCTCCTGAGATTTGAACTTGTGCTATAATCAGAGACATTATCAACACTGAGCTGTTCGGGCTGATGACTGACTTCGAGGAGGAGATCATGTGAGGAGGAAACGAAATCTTATGTACAATCGTGAAGGCAGCCAGAAATTGGTGAAACGGTGGTGTATTGGTGAAGCAGTATGTTCTACTGGGAACTCTATGGAATAAAATAATAATAACAGTAATAATAATAATAATAATAATGACATTTTACTCTAGTTTTATTCACAGTAAACATAATTAAAACTTGATTAGGCTTCCAAGAGAAAGGATTCAGAAAAGAAACTGTCTACACTCGACTAGTCTGATTAGAAATTTTTCTCAGGTATAAACTCAACTGAATTTTCAACGTAGGACCATGTACAAAGTGTGCACCATTGAAAACTATTTTAAGCCATATCAACAGCAGTTTTGAAGACGCTAACCAGACAGTCTACATCATGTCCCTCTACATGGCTGAAATTAAGACTATGAAACCTCACTGACTGATACCATGTTTTGGTCTAACCAAGTTGCCGACTGTCCCCGAAATGTCAATCTTTTTAAGGTTAAAATTCACGGGTGATGTCAATAGTGAGACCTTATCGCAACATGTGAGTAGGGCCTTCGAAAGGACTTTCTCTGCAGCTATGCTATGCTGTGTATTCAGGACTAGTCGACCAATATTTAGTTCAAGAAATAAAGACAGACTGCTCTATTTCACCTCTTTCTTGTGTATTTACCAGTTGAACTGCGCGTGCGGAGCTAGTTACATAGGACGTATGATCAGGCAAGTTCATCGTCGAATTTCTTTGTGAACACCTCCCATCTCCGTTTGGCAATGGTCCGAATAAAGGCCCTAAGCACAACTGAATACTAGCTCATCTCGTCGATACTGGACATCGAATCGACTCTGACAAAGCTTTGAAAGTTATTTATCATATCATCATAAATCACCCAACCTCTCGCATGGTCTACGAGTACGACTTTTACACATAGCGTAGGCAATCGGAATTCATCTGAGCAAGCCAAGTCTGTGTGTGTGTGTGTGTTGAAGAGAAATTTGTACGGCCCCTTCATTTTTGCCATGGCCAACTACATAATAAGTATTAAGTTTGTAAAAAACGATTTTCTCTCCTCCCCTTGTGACAACTATCTTTTGACTTTGTTAATTTTTACAGTTTTTACAACTCTAGCTAACTCTATTAACTTGTCTGAATGTTACGTAACTCGTCTGAGTCATTCTATTCTCCTTAGTCATCATTGCTATTTTTACAAATTTCTTGATTATATAATAACTTGTTGCTATCGCCTAAGAATCAACTTATCTTGAATTCCATAGTTAATTATTTTTCACCCCTCTTTTAAAACTTGGAAATCTTGTTACTAACATGTATTAGTCATTCGTTTTGATGACCTTTAACCTCTTGATTTCACTCCTACTTATACCTAAAACTGATTAACTAGCATAACCAGTAGATTGGTAGAACATTTGGATGTAAAAAACAACTATACATATTAGTGTAGAGCCAGCCATCCGATGATGAGGAACTAATTAGAAAGAAATGCATATTTCTTCGCTCAATCTGTTGTCTTTTCTAAACGCGTAAATGGGAATTTGGAATTCCATTATGGGTAAATTTTGTTTTGATAAAGTCTCACAGTGTTGTTATACAGTAATGTTTACTGATGACGTTTCGAGCACAATTTATTGCTCATAATCATATCAAGGTAATCACACGACTTCCTAAATTCTTTTATATAGTTCCATTGTTTTTTTCTTGATTTTCACTTGATTTGATTGGTAATAGTATTTTCCATATTTCAGGTATGAGTGACGAGTCATTCCTATTGCATGTGTTGGGTGTAGACTCGATGAACAAGGATTCAGTAGTCAACCTCTCTCTCCACCTACCTAGATTACTTTTTAGAATTTTAACCCTCTCCCACCCTATTGTGTGGTTGTGTGTTAGCGCATGCATTGCAATTGCTGACCTTTTTTCTAAATTATTTATTTTCTCGGGGTCAACCATTCTTACCTTAGCTAAATTCTTATGCTTTGACAATCTGACTACCCCCTGGAAATTGAATATTTGTTTAAAATTTTATTACCACTAGCTGATATAGCTTAATTAACGATTTCAAAACCACCAGATAATCCTGGAAACCTGTTGTGTTAGCTAATTTTGGCACTCTTCATCAGTTCTCTCTCATCACAGTGGTTCCAACCCAGGAGCTGATTGGTGGTTGGTCTGATTACTAATTACGAAATGGCATACATTGGAATTCATGCACTGGCCGCTGGATAGGTTCCCATTGGCCGAAGAAATCGCGGGCTCACCTTTTAACCCTGAGGTCCCACTGGCTAACACCTGTGGTGTGTGGGTACTGCTGAAGAGTCCGAAACTAGGGCAGAGAAATAGCTGGTTGTCCAGTACTCCATGGCTGGTTTCCAGTGGTTCTTTAACCAATATCAGCTCATGATGAACATGCTGTAACTTGTCAGATTGCTGCTAACCTACTCTCGAATGTGGAGATTACTAGAATGATGAACAACATTTGAAGATAGTAGGAGGATGGAGGGAATCGGAAGACTGTATGTAGCGAAACGACGCATTACCAGGGGAATGCTACTTAGAAAGCATAAAACCCATCTGTACGCATAATTTAAGCTTCAATCGTCGGACAATATAGAAGTAATCTGCTACTAGTCTGTCTGCTGACCACCTGGAAAGCTGTTTTGAAAATATTGACACTATGACTTATATCGAAGATGTGTTTGTTATGAGAATAAATACCATATTTCTATTTCTTTCATTCCATTGACTTCTGAGTGGAACTGAAGATTTTTGTACTTGAACTTTGAAGTTTCAATATCGGTGATATACTTTCTATTGGTTCAGTCTCCTAGCCTCTCACCTAATCTTCCGTCTTAGTTGGCGTAACCATCAGTTATACGAATTTTAGAAAGCATCGACTAGGAATTGAACTCAAGGACTTGCGGCGTTCTTGGCGAGTATTCTACCTTTGGATGACTGATGTTCTGGTTTATGTTTCACAAACTATACGTATTCAGAAGATTACTTCACTCAGTTGCCATCATTAATCGGGAACTAGATCAGTGTGAAGTGTTATTTTTGTATTGCAAATCAACAGACAGGAATCATGAAAAACAGTTTTTCTTACGATTAATTTTGAGAATAACATTATGCTACTTTTACTAAATTAAGTAGTTCATGTATCCTTATTGAACAATTCCCATCGGGACATAGAGAAAATCTAAAAGAAAATCTATTCAATGAAAGGACTCTTTTTTCATATACATATACACATATATTCAAGCGTTGGTTTGTTGGGATTTGACTTCTTGAAGGATTTCTTCATGAGCTGACATCGGTTAGAGAACAAATGGAAATTCAACAGGGAGAACTGGACAGCTATTTGTTGACTCTTGTTTGGGACTTTACATCAGTACACGCCTGTCAAAGTGGTTGGAGAGTGGGACCTCACGTTTCCAAGGAGAGCTCGTACACGTGTGTATATATGGTTTTTAATAAATTATATCCTGTGAAGAAATTGAAACAAAGGTGTGAATACGTGAAATAATGATAGTTAGAAATGCAATTAAAATATTTGTGATAATAATCATAGTTAAATGTAAAGTGTCAAGTGGCAAAAGAATTAGTGTCATTATTTATGAGGTATGCCAGATGTTGGAACGGGTTGTGTAGTTATAGGGTTAGTAGTGAAGATGGGAGTAAGAAAAGGCTGGTTGTCTGACTGCCTACTGTCTCCAATGATTTTCCTGATTTCGGGTGGTAGACTGGATAGTGCAACAGACAGCGCGACTGGCCTGACGACGAGGAGATAGGCATAAAATGCACCCACACAAAATATTGGCACCATCCGGATTTCAGCTATGATATATATATATATATATATATGTCTGATGTCCCAGAAACTGGAAGATATGCAAGTGAGAAGCAACAAGTTGGCGATAGAAGAAGAAGCATCCAGGGAAGATAAGAAGGACATCAGGTGAACATAGAGAAAATAGACGTATGTGATAAAGAATCCTGGCCAACAGCAACAGCAACAACAGAGAGCAATCAGCCATCATGAATTGGAGAAATCTGAAAGAAGCTACTTCCTCTACCTACCCATCTACCTACGGACACACATGCCTACCGACCGACATATCAACCTACTGACCTGGGAAGCATTGCCTCAATTACAGGCTGACGGAACTGATAAAGATATCAAAGCAGGGAGGATCGTGAAAGCAAGTTAAGCTTTCATTACTCTCATCAAGTCTTTGTGGTGATCAACATCACTCAGCGCTCACCATTCAGCACTTAGCATGAAAATAACATCCGGATTTTCAACTCCAATATGAAGTCAATCAGTGCTACTCTATACAGATCAGAGACTTGGGGCTGCACCGTGCCGCACCGCGTCACGATGGCCACTTTCAACAAACTATACACCTTCATCAACAGCTGTCTTTGTTCAATACTACTCAAGATCAGATGGCCAGCCAGAAATGATCAATCAGTCACAGGCAGAAATCTCTGGGAACTAATGAACCAACCAACCTATCAGGAACCGAGTGTGCAACAAATGTTCAGGAAGAAATGGAGTTAGGTGGATTGGCTGGCCATACTCTGAGAAAACAAACTGTCATCAGGTGAGTGACATCCATCACACGCTACGTCAGGCCAGGCCATAGCTTGAGTGGAACGCGAATGGGAGGTGGCGAGTTAGCTGGTTGTCAATGAGAGGATGGGGTGACATGCAGAGGGAGATGAAAGCATGTGAACAGACGTGGAGCCAGGTGAAAACATTGTCAGATAAATGAACGAAATGGAAACATCCGGCTGAAGCCCTGTGTTTCTCTCGGAACTAAAGGAGATAATAATAATAATAATAATAGAGTGACAAGTGTTACAGGTAAAGTAATACTGGAGATAGTTCAAAGTGAAAATAATACTTGTAACAATCCACATAATAACTGAAGGGTATACAAAGTGAATAAACAAAACGAAGAATAAGCAGGACTGAAATATGAATAGGGAATATCACACTTTAGCATGGAAAGATTAAGACCATAAGATTTACGTGCATGATGGTGGTGAGGGGAAAGATAAATTTTTTATTTGAATACAAAGATCTAACTTTTCTATTTCAGTTAACAAAGCTTCAGCAGTACAGATGAATCGGGCACTTAATGTTATGTACTGGTTGAGAATTTAATAGTCCTGACGCAAGAAAGACGGAAATCAGATGACCACTAGGTTTGCGATGATACTTCTACTTTCCAAACACCAGGAGAATCAAAATGTCACACAAGAGTGTGAGAGCAAAATATGAAAATGTCTGAACAAGTGTGTCAACACAAGTGTGTGAGCGAATATTCAAAATGAACAAATCAATAGACAGTCTTAACATGATTGGCTAATTATAATGGAATATCGATCCATATATACATAGCGAAATATAGCAAACATGTCAACAAACACACATATTATATGGATATATATCACTTAATGAGTTAGACAAATTATTTTTCGCTCTTGAGATGAGTTTAAAGTTTGGGGCTGTAGAGTTTGCATGATCAATATCGAACAGATTTTCAATGATTGTACTTCTAATAGCTCCGCTTAAAATACTGAATTTCTTTTTGTAATATCCAAATATTTTAGTAAATCATTATAATAGAGGTTTTTGTATTTCCCAAAATGAATGAAAAACAAAAACCTCTATTATAATGAATATCATATACCCAATGCCCAAATTTTTTCAAACCGTTAAAAGTGAACTTGATTTGGACATATATATTTTAGTAATTGTTTTAATTTTTTAAATTTGTTCTTTTCTAATTTTTCCAGTTTAATCCTCAACTGATACTTATTTCGTGTGGATTTGATGCTGCCATCGGTTGTCCAGAGGTAAGCACAGATATATTCACTTAAAAATTAATTTTAAAAAAAATTTAGGGCGATTTTACGGCATATCGCTTTTCTAATGTGGCGCCACCTACTTTATCGAGTGGGTAGATATTAAGGCGTTTTTTGATAAATACGCCAAAGTTATATCCGTTTGATTTCATGGAAATTCAATAATACATAACCTATTTAATTAAATATGATCGGTCATTAGTATATACTTTTTGTTTTTTATTTAACTGAGTAATTGTCATGTATTTTGGTTTTGTTATTGGGAACCATGTTAGTTGTAAAGAAACTACGAAATGACGATATCATCTCGGGAAATTTGTCTTCTAGATGCCCTTATTCAAATTTATCAAAGGGATTAATTGTTTTAATTAGTTGGTTATCAATGAGTAAAAGAACTTGAATATATATCAAGAATTTAGAACTAAAGAATATTAATAATAATAATAATAATAGTAATATTAGAACAAGACATATAATAATCGAACAGTATTGTTGTTTTCAATTAGATCTTCTTCAGGCTTTACTCTAATTTACATAGATTTATATATAAAACAGAATTTAACCAATGACGGCGAGTTTGTGGATCAAATAATAATAATAAAAGTAATGCAGTAAACGTTTTGAGCTTCACTAATAACGATGATTATAATGACAGCAAAATATTGATAATAAGGTTCATATATATTCCTATGACAAGTCCGTGTGTGTGATCAGATTGTGCGAAATGTGTTGCGCAAATAAGGTTTATGCAGGTGGCGATAAGACTAACGAAGGTAGTACTACGCGTGTATATGTAGACAATTCCGTAAATAAATAAATTAGGTCAAATCTTAAAAGTTATATAATAGTAAACGTGAGGTGGACCAATAATCAGAGTTTAAATAAATATCATAAAAGTACGAAGGAGATGGAAGATAAGAAAGGGGAGGGGGGGTTTTCAATAGAATTCACCTAGGCCAAGGGACAGACAAAGGTAGAACAAACTTCTTTTGTTGTATGCAAAGACACTAGGATAGTCCTCTCGAATTAATGCCCATAGCCTCTTTAGTCGTGTGTAAAAGACGGATGCGATAGATAACTTTGAAGGCACTACTTCTTCTGTCCACTTGGTAACCGATATCCCTAATCCAATGAGACAAAATAGAACTTCTTAGCGATTTTACTTAACCTTTTCCGAACCATGAAAGAAAATGCTCAGTAATAATGTGAGTTTTGTTGACCTGTCTAGTTGTTCACCCTGCATAGCTTTCTTCACCGGGGGCAGTTAAACTTATAAATGCGTTTACAGAAGTGGCACAACTAGACAGCTTACCTTTCGTTTTGAGCGGTCCTATTGGTCGGTAGCTGAAGAATGACAAACAAAGGGTGGCAGCAGTATATATATACATAACGCTATATAATTAGTACTATTTATGATTCACTTAGTACTGTCCTTTAACATTACCATTATCTTAACTCGTCTTAACATTATTATTATTGTTACTATTATTGGGAGTATTATTATTATGGGGTGTCAAAATAAATAGTCATATTTGTGTAGCTGAAGCTGTTGCAATAAGATCGACTAAACCGGAACTGTGTATCCAAAAGGAACACGTCCAGACGCTGTTCCTACCGTGGCCAACCTTGGATTGAAGATTTTTCTTCTCACCAAGAGTACTCCTTCCCCTTAAGCCTCTTGGTTTTTTTCTTTTTTTTTAATTTGCTTATTATTATAAATATTATTATTACAGTTACTATTATTCGTCATAATTTATGCCCTTTATGCAAACATTCCCTCAATACTATCGAATTTTCATTTGTACGGACTTAATATTAGTGATATTATCTGTTTTCTCAATATTTACCTCCACCTGTTTCATTTAATATATTCGTTATCTCACTATGATCCTCTCATTCTAGTCTTACTATATCCTGCTTAACTCAGACCACTTTGTACTAGCCACTCACTCACCTGACACCTTCGATAAGCTTGAACTGATTTGTCAATTTTCCTACCCACACTCTACAGTTCCATTATGATTAACCACCACTATTGTCTCCCGTTTTACAATATTTCTAATCGATTTCAGCCTAGCACGTTTGTCACACATATATGACTATTATTATTATTACTATCACCAGTATTAGTTGGTTCACAATTCTTGATATATATTCAAGTTCTTTAATTATTCACTGAAAAGTTAAGTGATGCAACTGAACCGTGTAGTGCATTTGATCTTCCATTTTATATCACCCCCTGTATGTAGAATATTCACAGTAGCCGAGGAGGAGGAGAAATTCTACCGAAATTTTAATGAATTCATTGAATCCTCCTTCTTTATTAACACCATTTGTTGCTTATTTTAAAGGTATTTGTATCAGAAGATAAAATATTTCCAATTATGACTATATAATTATCACTTTCTGTGGTTTTGTTTTACCTTATACAGGGTAGGATGTGGCTTAGTCCTATGGTATTTGGACATTTTGTGCATGAGCTGAAATCACTTGCTGGTGGAAAAGTTGTCATTGTTCTTGAAGTAAATAATTTTATTTAATTATTCTATATAATGAAATATGTTCTATGTATTTGCTGAGAAATCTTTTTATTTATGAATACCTTCATATATGCGTACTCCACATTTCAAACAGGTGTCTTCTTTGTCTAGTAATGTTAACCGGATTAGGAATGATTTAATTCAATTTGGACATTCCTGTTGATTGATTAGACGGAAGTCTTTGGCATCAGTTTGACGTGTCAGTTCGTTGTGCTATAGATGCTTCAACGAAGTCTGATTGTTTAACTTGAAGTAAATTTGTAGATAGTGACTACCAGTGGAATACACAACAACACGCATTTCGTCCTATTTGGGACTCATCAACTTGTGAATGTACCTACATTCCTCAGTGAGTCAGCGAGTAATGGTGTTCCTGCTGATTCACCAACCAAGCGCCCATAGTTTCAAATGCCAAAGCCTTATACACATGAGGTGGATCCCACGGCCCAAATGGTTTAGTGGATGGTGGTCCTTTGGCGTCTGAAACTGTGGTTACTGGGTTAGGGCCTCATTGGGAACGCTTTCATCATTGATTGGGGAACGTAGGTATATCCACTAGCTGATGGGTCCCAAATGGGATAAAGTCCACATCTTGAATCCCACTGCTAGTCACTATCCTTCAGTTTATTCCAAGAACAGGAGTGACTAAGAAAAAGGCAGTTACTACTAGTGGTCTGGTTAGCGTATATCATCATTGTAACGTGTCTCAAAATCGTTCTCACTGGCATAGATCCGTTTACTCTTTGTGATCTCCTGGTTGTATTAAATCATCGTCACTGTTCTGGATTTAATTATTTCTTTCGTCAGTATATTTTCGTTTACTACAGTTTTAAAAAAAAATTTCAATTACATTTATGTTTGTTTCCGTGGAGTGTGGCTATTTGCACTACTGTAACATTTTGCAAAGATGCGGATGTGAAAACCCGGATCGGAAAGGCAAGAGAGACAGACATTCATCATTTCGAAACGACTGTGGAAATTTGATGCACTCGGCATAAAGTATAAAATTAAGATATTCAATACCGACGTTACGTTAGTCAGTTCTTCTATGATTTAGAGACTTGGCACGTCATGAAAAGCACTCCCAGCTAGCTACTGTAGAATTTTATCAACGGCTGCCTTCCTTTGAATTTGAAGGTCAGATGGCTGATTAGAAAGGATTGAGAGTAAGGGATTCTGGGAAAGAAGAAACATTCAAGTACCTATTACTCAACAAATATCTCTAGTAGAATGATGAGGGATTGAAAACCCGCTGGAGAGACCTTTGAATGGTATCGAGTGTCAAGCTGTTGACAGGGACCTAAATGAGAAGTGATTAGGTGAGAGTCCGAGGGTGATATATGGAGGAGATCGTGGGGTGAGGAGGAGGAGGAGGCGGAAATAGGACAGAGTAGAGATGTGCCATTGAAGATCTACATTCTATTAAGAATCCAGGGGAATAACAAATACGATAAAAGCAATATTGTGAATAGTTCTGCGTGGAAAAGTCTAGTTGACTGCTCCTATTTTATAGTAATGAAGTCAATTCTTTATTATTATTGTTCCCTTGGGTTCCTAGTGGAACATAGGGCTTTAACTGCACGTCTCCACTTGCCACTTCTGTCTTCCTTCTGCTGTACTTTTCACCTGCATCCATGTCAGTCCATACTGTTTCAACTCATCTTCACACGATCTCCTCCATGTCACCCTTGCACTGATGTCCCACTCGCCACCGCTTCCCTTTCAGCCTGGTTCCACTCGAGCAATGGCCTGACGCTCGCGCGATGTCACCCAGTGGCCTCCTCAGCGAGTGTCCACTGAGTGTCCATCTCCACTTTCTCCTGAATATTTGCTGTTGTTGGGCGACTGGCTCTTGTTTTGTTTGTTCCCATAGTTTCTTGTTGATCAGTTGTTGATAAAGGTCACGTCTTCAACAGGCTGTTGGAAATATTTTTTGTGACCCGCTCACCAAGTTTCTGATCCGTATAGAAGAACTGACTGACTTGACGTATGTATTGAAAATTCGAATTTTGTTACTAAGAAATGTCGATTTTCAAGGCGGTTATTGATTAAGTGAAACTCATCGGTTAGATCGAGTTTTGAGATTTTCTTTCACGACTTCCTTGTGCATTTATCGCTTATTCATATGTAAGAGACTATAGGAAATCTGATACAGCTGCGATTTAAATCATATTGAATTTAGTTCTTGACAGGATTCAGACTACTTGCTACAGAAATGCCAATAAAGTGCTGTGAGAACCAACTGAAAGCCAGGTTACCATTTCACTGTAATCATAGCTGCGAACCAGATTTTCAATTCACCTTCAGCCGTAACCTGCTATTTAAATAACAGTCTGCTAACTTTAGACCATCTTAGCTAATCTTATCATCATATAGATTCATCACTGTCTGTCCAAGCAAAAATCTCTTTCCTGTCTGCTGCGAAAATTTTAGGGCACTCTGTACAAAGTGGGATAGTTTGCCCCCCAAGTTGGGGCATCATTCTGTAGTAGACCGGAAACCCGTCCCAAAGGTTCTGCAGTGAACCTGAACATTGCTCTGAAGTTTCTGAAATGGATCATAAGTTTTTCCTGAAGTTTCTAAAGTAGATCCCAAGTATTTGTCTACGATTCTAAAGTGGACCTAAAGTCTGTGCCCATACATGAATGCATACATTCTACCAACGTACACATACCGTCATATAAAGGCCCGCATTTTTCTATCACATTATAATAATTCTGAAAATGATTTTAGAGTATTATTCCTGCCACTGTGAAAAACATTTAACTGTAATCAAAAAATAAATAAAAATAAAAAAATAAACAGTTTGTGATTACTACTAAGTATATTTTTCCTTAGTAAAAATACAAAGCCTTTATTTTATGTAATAATTTAAACTACTTATTTTTAATAAGTAGTATGATTTATTCTTCAAAGTTTCGTCACATGGGTTGAATTACATTTGAGTGGTCAGAGAGTACAACATCATATATATGATATTAGCCAATTTATCTAAGATAATCTTATTGTGTGTCGAAGTTCCCGGTATAAATTCTTATTTTAGGATGTTTTAGTTTGAAGATACAAAAATTGTCTGAGTAAAGATTATTCTTTTTGATAGCTTCCTCATCTTTCTCCATAACAATATATATATACACAGGTGTATTTCAACTACATTTTATCTTAAGAGCTTACATTTTTCAAATAGTTCAAGCTATCAGAATCTAATTGAAAGAGTCAAACTCCTGATATCAGAAGAAGAAGTTCTTTCAGGATCTTTTCCATGCCTTGATGATGATAACTTGATTGTAAAAATATGACCACTTTTTTTACCTTCCCTCTAGGCTGTCGGTCGTTGTTTTAACTACACTTCCGATTTTCGTATGTTAAATGTTCTTCTTAATCTTATTTTATTTTCATATAAATACGACATTTTTTTATGCTTCCTCGAGCTGTAATTGTAATGATCTTAACGACGCTGTATTATTTAGAAAATTCCCAATGTTGCCAATATTATTGACGTGCTTTGAAGTATCTGTAGAGATTGGATTGTTTCTCCCTGGATAGGGTTGCTATCCCCCCACACCCAACCTTCCCTTCTCTCTCCCAGGCGTAAGACCAGCTAGAAAACTTGTGAACTATTAAACCAGGTCGGAAAGAATTAGCAACGAGAAACTCTGGAGAAGAACCAATCAAGAACCCACTGCTCAAAAAATATGCTGAAGAAAGTAGAGACGAGTTAGACACACACTGAGAAGGTCGTCGAGTGACATTATGCTCCAGACATCCCCTCGAGTGGAACCCTATGCTAAACAACAGGTTAGGCTTGGGTCTAAGGATGACAGGGGGGAGATAGTGTGGTGAGGAGGAAATAACAGCTTATGGGCGATCGGGGAGCCAGCTGGAGAAGACTGCGGAAAACACCATAAAATGGAGAGGTGTTGTTGAAGCCCCCCATGTTCCACTCAGAACCCAAGAGAATATAATGATAACAACATGATTGTTACTAACAACTACTCTTTAACTATAATGTGTACATATATAATTGTGGAGACAAATGGGGAAGTTAGAGAAAAGAATATTCCTTGCTCTATTTCTTTTTTATATCTTCTAAATGTTTAAATGAGAATTTTTGTGCTCTCATTTGAAGCGAACTAGGCGAGTAGCAGAATTTAGATCAGGGACCCGTTTAGTACCAAATTCATCGCCCTGTTAACTAACCTTAGATACCTGTTCATTGACGATATATATATATATATATATTCAAATTTCAGTCCGACCAATCACAGCCTTTATCCAGTCATCATATTTGTGGGTGAAACTCAACTCTTTAATCAGTATCATTATGAAAACTGTTTTTCTAGTTAAATTGATAAATGACAATGGCGATTGATTGTCAGAAATAGTCAAGTTTTAACAAATCAATTGTATATATTGAACAGATGATCTTCTTAGTTGATGAGAATCCTAGTTTAGATGGCAAAGTGCTGAACTAGTAAGTATAGGGCCACTTTTTTGGTACCTCTGGTGACCCTTACTTTTATTTCTTTGTTTAATTAATTCAATAATTGGCTTATTTCGTTAGAATAATAATAATTCATTTTTACTGATACATTTTGTAACAGTTTATTGATTTTTCCCCCTACAATAGGGTGGCTATTTTGTAGATAGTTTAGCTGAAGGAACAGTACACGTTTTAAAAGCATTACTCGGTGATCCATTATCACCCCTACAATTGATTCGACCACCGTGTTCAAGGTAACAGTTAGTTTATTATTATTAGTATTATTAATCATAATGTGATAATAATTATTTTATTAATAAAGGCTCTATTCTGGACAGTATCTATGTAATGTACAGAATTTTCAGCAAAATCTGTTTCATAGTGTTTTCTCTTCCTCGAGGATCTATAAGTGCACTAGTTATTATTATTATTTCATCCCTATACGTCGCCAGTGGGACACAGGGCTCCAAGTTAGAAGCTTGAAGTTTTGATGTTTATTCTTATAGGATGGGGTTGCTAGCCTCATGTCCAACCTTCTCTTTTTACCAGTCTTATTACTGGCTTGGCGAGCTGAAGGAGTGCGCCGGCTGGCGATCAAGTCCCGGATCACCTGCGTGGTTGGAGAGCATACTATCGCTGCTCCAGCGATGCACCGACGTATACTAGTTATTAACATTAAATCGCTTAAAACAATGCTGTCTTACCTGAAGCATAAACCAATCTCTCGTGATATTTCTTCCTTGTCTCTTTCAAGAAATGTACAAGGTTTGATTGAAAGCCAGTTTAAAAAAAGGTGCGGTAGCACACTTTGAGACCCAAGGTCATAAAGTGAATGATTAAAGACTACAGGGAGTTGGGTTTTATTTCTCAGTCAGTGGCAGTTTTGTAATAAAAATTCTCCAGAATAGTTATGTCATGTGTAATGGGATATGTTGCCACCTAAGCGACTGTGCTTTTTCACATATTCAGTAGAAACTTGCCAGTCAGCAGGACTGTGCATATTTCAGATGCTCACGAGGGTAAACTATTCAATTACAGGTTCAATTTTAATCGATTGAAACTAAGTGAAAAAAGAGAAAATAATACGGAATATAATAATGGAGGTTTATAATAGCCCAAGTTTCAAGCAGCTCATTATTATTTTCATTATTCTTATTACATTTTGATCAACGTTTTAATGACCATTTGAACAGTAACAGTACAGCACACACACACACACACACACACACGCACAAGCACACTTCTGAAGCATGCGTCTGGAAGAGAGGCATAAAAAATATGTCTGCTGGTGATCAGTTCATTATTGAAACTTTAGATTATGTTGTAAAATGGATAGGACTTATGTGATTGAAATCAATTTGGAATTTTGATTTCACACTATCCAAACTACACTTTTCAGTTCACATGATTTGATGCTTATCTGTTCTATCTTATCCTTGTGAGACGTTTTCCTGATTAAGTAGTAAGAGTGGTTGAATCATTGTGGGAATTTTTCTTAACCATGCTGAACAATACCATCCAAAGTCTTCATTGGTATGTCAAAAATTGTGTTTTGTAAAACATCATATCTCTGATTCAGTCACATTTTATTCTTAAATATCCTGATTGTAAACTTTGTCTTTATTACTTGTTTGGATAAATACTTCTCTAATTAGGCGGTGCTTTTAAAAGTCACCCTGAATATTCAAGCATTGGTTTATAGGGAGATTTGATTGATGGGTTACAGGATTTCATCATGAGCTGACATCGGTTAGAGAACCGCTGGAAAACCAGTACTGGATAGCCAGCTGTTTTGTCAGCCTAGTTTGCGACTATTCAGCATAAATGCATCTACCGCTAGGGTTCAAACCTAGGACCTTCTGGTTACAAAGCGAGCTAGCTCGTGGACCACCAAGCTACCGGGATCCGATCCAATGGCCAGTCCATGAATTCCAACTTCTACCAATTCACGAAGTAGTTCGACCGCTTAGCAATATCATCGGTGGCGAGTATTTGTCCTCACACCTGACCTTCTTTACCCTACCCGTCACGACTTTCCAATGAATAAGGCCAGTGGCTAGTGAGAATATCATTGATATTCAAGTATTGGTTTGTAGGGGGATTTGATTGGTTGATTACAGGATTTCATCATGAGCTGACATCGGTTAGAGAACCATTGGAAACCCTAGTGGGTGCGTAGTGATGAAAAGTCCCAAACTAGGCTGCCGAAACATCTGTCCAATACTCCCAGTTGGTTTTCCAATGGTTCTCTAACCAATGTCAGCTCATGATGAAATCCTGTAACTCATGCTGAATTTATCACGATCCTTAGAATCTGTCATTTGTTGAAAGGATCTTAAAGTGTAGCCTACATATTTCATCTTTCGTATATCCTTCAGTAAATCTAAATTACTATCCGACAGTCACTTCGTGAACTGTTTATACCATTGGGTTATTGAATTTTCCATAGAGTATAGGGTATCTCAGTGACTTAAATTAACTTTTTCGATATCATCTAATTATGCCCCTTGAATGACTTATAGTAAACCGTTAGGTACATTTTTGAAGGGATAAAACTGTTCGAAGTGAGGTGGAGAGTGTTTCAGACTGAACTATATCGCCTTGAATGATCTGCTGTAGATTACTTCACAAGGAGTGGATAAAAGATACACTCGAAATTCTGGACTGTTTAGAAACGTAGAATAGAATAGAATAGTAGAAAAAGCCTCTAAAGACATAAAATTATTAATGAATAAGCTATAGTTAGATGGTGGTGGTGGTGGTGACTAACTAAGGGAATCAATGATGGCGATTTCACCCTATTTCGGGACTCATCAGCTTGGTGCAGCTCCATCCCCCAATGAGTGGCGATGTTCCCAATGGAAGTCAGATGCATCAATCATCATTTCAAAAGACAAAAAAGATCATCAACGTAGTCTTCAGTTGACATCGAAGCGTTCATAATTGGAGCTGACATCTCAACAGAGACCTGATATCTCGATGTAACATAATTAGTCAACGGAAAGTGCAAATTTAGCCAAAGCCAAATAGTTACTATCATGTTTTGTTTTACCTATTGTCCAAATGATAAATTTAATGTGTTAAATTTTTAAAGGTCAGTAATTTTATCGTTTATTTTTCTTTTTTTCCTGTCAACACACACGCACACACACACACACACTCGCACATGTAAATATTCTATTTAGTGTTAAACGTACAATTAAATCATGCATTGTGGCCTTACGTGATCACTGGAAAAGTATTGGAACTGCTGATATTTCTCAAATCATTCCACGACCAAGTTTAAAACATTTACCAAATATATCATGGTAAGTAACCATTTCACTTTATTGATTAAATTTTCCAATTTCACAATGATTAGTCTCATTGTGCAGGGGGGGGGGAGGGTGCAGCTAGTCTCATGAGTCTACTACTCCTTGAGTGACTTTGCCCTCGTGAATTCTATCAGTCAGATTTCAACCCGTGTGATCACCAGTCGTTTGAAGCAACTGACAGTTAAGCCTCGGATCTAGGTTTTAGTGTTTGTTGACACACATCGACAAGGTGTTTCTGCACGACCGATGATGATTCCGCAATTGAAAGATGAAGTACCTAGACTAGCCAACTCTAATTGTATCTGCCAGTTCACCTGAGCTTGTGGAGCAAGTCGTATTGGCCGTTGATCTAGCAGCTTGATTTTTTCGCGCTCGCTCTGGAACATCTACTAGTATGGCTAAGTAGAGGTGCGGTGAAAACCATCTACAGTTCAATAGTAGACCACCTGATCTAAAGCGGCCACAAAGCCAGCCAGCATTGATGAATCCTTCTCGGTCATCTATCAGGTAACAAATAAATTGCTAAAAGCATCCAGGCACCGAATTCTCCAAACAGCAGAGGCTATCAAGATTCGCCTCAAACAACCAGTGCTTAGTGTGCAAAAGAAGCAAGTCCAACCAGCTACCACTACTGCCCTGGCCGACCTTCATTGGAGACTATACATTCATGAATTTGTATTATTATTTCTCCTAATTTCTCTGATATTCAGCGTGTATTGTTATTTTGATGCTATTGAACTGTAATCCATTGATATCATTATTATTGATTCTATGTTAGTTAAACAACAGTAATGTTGTTCATAACACGAATTCGTTCCCTATTATGCATGGATAAACATAACTGTAGAACCTGATGAATAAGGTGTTATCGAAGATGTGAATATTCTTTGTTCATTAACCATTCTTTTGAAAAATCTTGAAGGGATTTATATCCCTCCAGTTATTCGTTCTCATATCAACTATCGCTGCAGTCAGAGCTCTTTGGGGTCAAAATTGGCCTCTTGTTGGTTACCTCCTACCATCTACCCTTTTAACGTTTTCACTTTAACACTACTATTAAATATTTTCCTTTGAAGGTTATACACTACTAACTGTCAAATTATAGTAGTATGATGTGTACACAGAAAAAGTACTAAGATTTGTTGTAGTGTTTCATCATAATTTTATATTAGAATGAGGATACAAAAAAATGGAATAATATCCAAGTTCTTCTGTACGCTCCACTAGTAAAAAGTTTGAAATCAGAACTGAATTGATGCTTAGCGTCCTCTGGTTTCTTCAAGTTCTTCAGTTTCCTTAATATTTTAGCCAAAGTCTACTTGAAGATAATGGTTTTACACAAATCTTTTGAATTTCAGTGATGACAATAAATCCACTTTATATCTCATCATTAAGCTTCTTCAACTGTGAGTTTATAGCGTCTAAATAACGCAAACTAAATAGCTCATACGTGTCGCAATGAATCAATTGTAGATGCTCAGTATTTTATCTATGTAACTTTTAGTTTGCAAACTGATATTTTCACCTTAGTACAAGTTTTAGAGCAGAATTGAAGTTATAAACTGAGTCTGCTGATCTATTTCCCTGTGAATTTTCACTTCTGTCAACCAGAGATATAACACTACCTCCAAGCACTGCTGGCAATGATTTCCTAAAGGTCTGATGAGACGCTGTAACCTGTTGGATCCTCTGGGCGGTATGTGAAGGAGATGCTCATCCATAGTATTAATTGGCGGTGATATTATTTAGTGAAATAACAGGGGTTAGGGTTCATGGAATTATATGGCCAACGAGCTTATCTCATAACCGGATGAATGAGCTTGAGTCCTACCTCTGTTGAAGAGTGAGAAAAGAAAGAAACCGGTATCAAGTAATCTTCAGTGTCCAGTGATTCTCTAACTTACAGAGGTCCACTTTAAAATCAATCGAACTCTCTACAAAATCTAAAATTTCAATTCATTTTGTAAAGATCAAAACCGATATGTTTTGTGATCTGAACAGAGGAAACTGATCTTTGCGTTACACTGTACAGCTGACCAAAAATTCCTTAAGTTATGCGCACAGTCATAAGACGCTTCAAAGACAGCAAAAAAAGGTAGTTATTTGCTGTAAGATCAAAGGTTCCATTCAAAAACAACAACTAAAAATCACCCCAACAGTACCATTAGGCAGCTAGCTATACAGGCTAGATAAGTTCCTTGTACAAAACAAGTACTGCAGAAGAAACTTAGTGAACCAAAAACTGAACGTAAGAATCACCTTAGAATCATGGAGGAGAATATTCCCAACAAGGTGGGATTAAAACCTTTGTCTATAAGAATCACCCGCCAACACCTCCCGAAGATCGTCCAACATTGGGATAACATTGACTCACTCAAACAAAATCGCATCGGAAACATAACACAACCCGGAAGAGAAGCATTATAATTTGAGATTAAATTGTGACAAAGATAAATAATAAAGATCATGCAAATGTCAGAACAGTGAAATACGGGCTAGTGGAAAATGGATGATAATAATAATAATAATAATAATAAAAGGGAGCTGGGACATCCAAATCAGTATCAATATTGTGATTAGATCGTTCACAAGATGGCTTTTCCAGACAACTATTTATTCGGTTACACAGTTAATCTCTTTGGATGATGAAAATCACTGTCTTTCTTCCGGGAACTTTTCTTCTGTTGGTTTTTCAATGAATAAATCGTATGCAAAGATACACAAAGTGATGGTGGATAAAAGCATAAATAGATGGATAGATTTTTTCGAAAACATCAACTTAAAGGTGAGGGCAATTCAATGCACTTTTGAATTAAGAAGTCACAGCAAGAGGAGCTTCCAATGTTAGATTGTAGCGTAAAAAGTAAAGAAGATGGGAAGTTAAACACACACACTGGTTTGTTTACAGGAAATCTACACATTCAAACAGATATTTGGACTTCTGAACATCGCACTTTATGCCAGTAAAATTAGGAGTAATGAAATGTTTAAGTGACAATAGGGCACAAAATCTAAGTTGTAGTACCAAGGAAAATCTAAGACAGGAAGTGAGGCATATAAGAGAAGCTTTGAAACTTAATAATTACCCGGATAAATTAATCAGCAAATATTTAGGGAAGTGTAAAAATAAAATAAATAATGATAATAGTGATAGTTATGATAATAATAGTAATATTATTGATGACATGAATGTCAAACATGCACAAGATAATGACAACAACAACAAAAGGGAATATAAACCATCAGTAGTACTACCATACAAAGAAGAAACCTCGTAAACCTTACGCAGAATTCTTAACAAGGCAGGAATAAAAGTGGCTGACATTCAAACCCACAAACTCAATTAGAAACAAGCTTTGTCAGTTAAGGGATCCTGTGGAGCCTTTAAAACAAAGCAATTTAAATTATTTAATACCCTGCTGGAATGACTGTCACGTCAAATACATAGGTCAGAGTAGTAGAACAGGTGCAGTCAGACTAGCTGAGCATAAAAACCTAGCAGCAAAATCTAGTTTAGTTGACTCAAATAAGATAAGAAATCTAGAAAACAATTCACCTATACCACTCACTACATGCAATGACACACAACCATACAATAGGATGGGATGGGATAAGATGACAGTTTTAAAATCTAATGTAACCGCAGGGTGAATGGAGGGAGAGATAGATTACAACGGAAGCTTTGTGCTTATCGAATCAACTGAATGAAAATACATGTAATAGGAATGACTTAACACCTGTCCAGTCGGATATCTGCAAAAATTCTACTACCCCAACGACGAGAAATAGGAGGGAACAAAGAAAACTATAAAACTAAAGTTTCAAAGTCGTGTGATTATAATTGGCGATATGATTATTGAAAACATTTATTTCCCGATACGAATTTAAAACAAGCAATAAAGGTTAATAAAGCAGGATTTAATGAATTCATCAAATTTCAGTAGAACTCGTCAGCTGAATACTCTACATACACGGATATATATACTTTTGATATGATTATGAACCACAATAAATTTCGTTCGAAACCTTGTCATCCAGTTAACAGTAATACTGTTTCACTGACTGTATGATACATCTAATAAGCAAAACTAATATGGAATTACTTACTTACTACTAATGCAGTGCCCAAGTTTTACACATATATGAATGAATAAAAGCAGTTTTATAGAAATTAAAAGTGTCTTTGTAAACACGCCTTCTTTGCATAAGGAAGACGGGAGTAATATATAATAACACCATATGTCACCTATCTGTAAGCTCCAGTTTTTAAAACCGCACCTTAAAAATAATAATAATAATAGTAGTAGTAGTAATAGTAATAATTCTAGCAATAAACCTTAAAATTTGACATCTTGCTTATTTGATAAAATATTTAACAATTGTTCATGATATCCACCCATCACGCTTGTCGACAGACATTGTCACTAGTCTCTCCCAAAAAAGGTGTGGTTATTGCATAAAAACAAAGGCAGAAGCGATGAAGCGAAGAGAAAGTAGCCTGGGAATATGAGAGGCTTATTCATAGGGTGTTTGTTACACAACTTCATTGTTAATCCTATTCTCATTCTTCTAATCCTCTTCGTGAGTATAAATAGCTGAAGAAAAGACTAACCGTCAGTTAGCCCAGAGTTCTCTACCTTCTCCACCTCCCTCCCTCTCCTTCTGTCTTATTTCTCCTCCACATACCACCACCCCCGAAAAGTAGAAGACTTGTTTTTGGAGTCTTCTTTGATTTTTTTCCCGTTCTATAATAACAGTACCGATAATGTTGTGGAGAAGTATACTCTACTTTTAGTGATACTGACAATGGGATGTTGAGTGAAAGACATATTTCACATAATTAAAAAAAAAACGGAATATTTATGTCGGATATTCACTGAAAACTTACTTTTCTCTTATGTAATTCTCATGTTTAATTACAAACGGAAAAAAAAACAATGACAGTTAACTAGTATCTACTTTTCAAGCGATAAAGGGAGAGGAGGAGAAGTGAT